TGGGGAATTCTGGGAGCCCAAGCCCATGGGTCTTAAAGTTGCCAAGGTTGAGAAACACTGATCAAAAAGCACAAAATTAGGAGGGGGAGAATATTTTAATCTCAAAAGGAGAGTTATTATGAGCTAGTACTTTAGAGATTTTGCATCCTAGCATTCTCTATTAGCAATTTAACAAAGGCGAAGGAGTCCCTGAAGTAAAATTAAAAACCACCATCGCATTTATTCTTCTGGAATTTAAAAAAGATTACCTAGTCCTCACTCTTTCTTCAATAAGGAGGCAACAGGGATGGTGTTTGATTAATGTTCCATTCGGCTTGTTTTGCTGCCTGATTGTTTGAATGCAAGTGGAAAACGCAGGTCATCTGTGTCTCAAATTCTAATCTAAACTTCACTGTTTTATTAAAGGATTTGCACCGATTTCTGATGTATTGCTTCCACCTGTTACAATGTTATTTCAAAGCCACACATACCGATACCAGCAATCCATCTGATGCTCCCTTTATTCTAGTGAAGTACCCTGTATACCAGAACAGCAACTCAATTCTATACTTACATCATAAAACCTCAAGCTAGGTTCACGCATCAGATTTATCCACTGAGAAAAGTGAATGAGGACATGCGTACCACCATCTTATCCAAATTGATCTGCAGCTCGTTACCCAAAGTCAGAACGTTGCCCTGACCTCTGGATCCAAGCATCTGTCAGGCTGCGTTTGTGGAAACTGGAATGTGAAACTAAGTCAGGTTGTAGGGTTCCATTCTAGTTTCTGCAATTCCAGCCATTCCACATATGGATGACATGCTAAAGCCCAGGTAAGCCTTTCATTGGGATAGGAAGGGGGGTCAAGAGGGTGGTCCCTCTTTTCTGCAATTAAGACGGTCATGTTAAGAAAGAAGCCACGTGACTAGCATCTTCCTTCCAAGAGAAAGACAAAGGAAAGGTGATTGGATTTGCAAAATATGGCTATTGGTGCTGCTGCACTTGAAAAATCTATCCTGAATGGATGAAAAAACAGGTAAGTACTACATCTACTTCTTCCCTTGTTCTGAAATATCCTTCACACCCTTTTCCATCCAGCTGTTTTTTACTAAAGTGCTGGCCTTGGGTCTGGGCTATACCGCTTCAGACTGCAATTGGGACAGACAGAAGATTGGAAAGATGTTGGTACTGCATGCAAAAAGAATAAAAGGCAATTTTCAGACTGCTGTCAAACTTTCAGGAGCGAGTTTAGCAAGTCTATAAGAAAGTTGATGGGGAAAGGGCAGTAGGGAAACACCTCGGTATCCAACACAACGGCTATTATCAAGTTCTTGGTGTGCCTGCATACGTCTCATTACCAGGCTAAACTCTGCAAGAAAAAAAGCTCAGAGAACATCAAGAACCCAACAGTTCCACCATGAGCTGCAGATACTCTCCACTATTGAAAAGGCTCTTCTGCGATGAACGCTGAAAGGATTCTGGCCCCAAATGCCTGATTGCAAGCTCTCAAGTTCAGGCGCTAAGGCTAAAAGTGTATACAATGTAATAGTAGGATTAAAAATCCAATCAACACCATCTCAGTGATTCATACCACAACCCTGCGCATCCAATTAAAGCTTATTCTCACCAAATCCATTTTTGAGTCAACACCTGCGTTATCTGGGTCAGGGCTTGTTTTTTAATGGAATCTCACAACGGGCACATCCAACTAGGGCATAAAGATCTTCTGCCTGTGTGCAATGACCTTACAACACCACGGGCACTTCTCCACCGCATCGGCGCAATCTTGGCAAGCCAGGAGGTGCCCACAAGGAATGAGGACCACTGAGATGGGTTTATCCATACAGATCTTGCAGATCTTTTCTTCCTCCAAACGTTTCAGCTTCTCTTCAGTACTGAGATCTATTGGGGGAAAGAGATGTCATGAGACACCATCAACAAGGAGGAAGAAAGGCAGTACCCACAATTCCCAGCAGCTGCCCAAGTCATCAACCTAGGCTCTGCCATAGAACTTAAAATTAAGTGGCACCCGAGAAGAAAGGGTTTTCCTACAATGGTGCCATTGCCTAGCTAAAGGAACATGTTCTTCCAAGAAGCTCTCTTATGACTCACTGCTACATTTCAGGCATCAGGTCAACTAATTGTATTTGTCCAGTCTTTCCACCAACTTTACTATGTGTTTTACTGTAGAAACTCTATGCAATATCTGCTCATGAGCAAAAGTTCTGTCCTCAACTCAGAGTTTACCCTACTCACTTTCTAGTACAGTATCATTTTGTACAGCCTGGCTCCAAGCATTGGTATCTACAACATTCACCTTTCTGCAGGTTGTTTCCTAAAGTTACACTGGATGTATTCTCTCTCTGGGAACTGATTAAGTCTGTGATAAGAGCCTCAACAGATCGGTAGCACTCAGTCGAAAGGCGGTGTTTTCTTTCCACTGTTTTCCTAATTTCCTCCATGTTGAATCCCATTTGCAATGCACTCTGGACCATCTGGTTTTGCAAATGTTCCTCATCTGCAAAAAGCAAGAGACTTTTTGCTTTATGAAAGCAAGAAAACCCAGCTAGGAAAATACAAGCAGACCTTGACAGACAGTTGAATTACCACATTACACTAAATCAGAATATTTAATCAATGGTTTATGACAGTGGCTAGATTTGGATATTACATTTAGCCATGCTGGGTTGGGTCAGATATCACATTAAACCAAAAACAAGCACATTCAATTACAGGCTTATTATTATATAGCATTGACCCACTCAATGAGAAAGTGGGTCCAAATGACATAAAACTACTATTCGATCCTGCATTCCGCCTTAAAATAAGAAAACTCAACCTTGATCAGTTTTGTGTTAAGTTCAAAACCATGATAAAAAAAAATTGGTATCAATTATGTATCATGTTTTTTATATATAGCTCTACATCTTAAGCCTGAGGAAGTTCAGGTGAGCTGGGACTAACCCCCACTCCAAATTCCCAACCTGATACGAAAATGCTCACAACTTTTAATTAATGGATAATTAAATACTGCCCACTATATAAACATTGAATTTTGCACTAGGATCTCCAAAATCTGCATTCTCAGGGAAATAAATGTACTCATTATTTCTGACTGTGAATCCAAGTTATTGAATTAAAATAAAATCCAAAATAACTGTTGTTTCTTTCTAAATATCAGCATATTCTAACCTAAGGTTCAGTGTTTTACTTCCGGTATTTTTCCTGCTGCAAATTTAAAATGACCTAGGACCGGGTCAGGTCCGATCTTATATAGCATCATCCTGCCTAATGAAGCTATATAAAGTTAGACTGAAAGTTTTGCCAAACTAAACCAACAGATGATTTTTTTTTCTTTGCAAAACACTTGTAAATGCAATTAAAATAAGATGTAAGGCTGTTGAATTAAGACTGCAGATTTGGAGTTATTCTTCAGCTGACCTATGAAAGCAAGGAATTAAACTGATCACAATTGAATAGATCAGGGTATACATACCTTCAATAGTTGACATTTCCTCAGATTCTTCTGTCTAAATAAATAAATAAATGTGATGTTAAGGTTCTTGTTGCACTCGATTAGAATCAAAGAACAATTTCTGCTAGGTTCGTTCAGTAAATAGAAAGAGCTGATGTAGTGTCACAATCAGTAGCTTCCAGTACAGTTTGTTTATTTACACTGACCTACCAACTTAACTGTCAAAGCAGCGATAGGCAAACATTTTGAGTTGGCAAAAAAATCTGGAATTTTGAAACCCCATCACGGGTGCTTTCACAAAATGGCTGCCAGAGTAGCTGAACTAGTCACAAAGTGGTGGGTGTGGCCAGTCACACAACATCCACTTATCAAGAAAGCAAGCTGGTGAGATACTTCATTGCTATTACCCTTTTTAGCCTTACCCATCCCTAAGACACGCTTAACCTACATTCGTTTTTTGTTCTGGACAGTGGACAGACTTCCCAATTAAGCACCAGATTGACCAACCCCCCCCCCCCCTTTTTTTTTGTCTATAGGGCCCATTTAACACCTTGAGATCTTTTTTGAAAATAATTTTATTAAATATTATAATTGCAATAGCCAAAAGGAAGGGAGGGAAGGAGGGAGGGAGAGCAAGCAGGCGGGCGGGCAGGCAGATATACAGAAGTGACTTCCAACCTTCATCACAACAAGTATAAACAATTTTGGCAACTTTACACCACCTCTTAATGTACAACCAATGATCTCCTCATCCCATGTCTTATCCATAAACAAATCCATAAAGCATTGTCATTTGAATGCTGGTGTCAGCAAAAGTCCATTAAGGGTTGCCAGAAATAACAACCTATTTTAACCTTGATCAAATAAACCAACTTTATATTCCTTCCTTTTACTTCTAACAATCTTAATCTTTAGTCCATTCAAGGGATGTCTTAGAACTTGATTTCATTTCTTTTTTTATGCCCTCATAAGATTCATCCGAGCTTTAACAAACCTCTTTTGTGAATCCAATATAAAAGAATTATCCAGGTCACTCTCTTGGTTTATTATTTGTAATTCCCTTTT